ACTAAGAGTGAAGTTTTTTCTTGTTTCCAAACTTTTCATAAAATGGTGACCAATCTTTTTAATGCTCAAATCAAAATTCTTCGTAGTGATAATGGGACTGAGTATGTTGATAGAGTTTTTCGGGCATACCTAGAGGAGCATGACATTCTTTATCAGACTAGTTGTGTTGGTACTCCTCAACAGAATGGGGTTGCCGAACGCAAGAATGGCCATCTTCTTGAAGTTGCTCGCTCTCTCTTGTTTACCATGAATGTCCCTAAGTCTTTTTGGGGTGATGCTGTTCTTATCGCTGTTTACCCTATCAACCGTATGCCTCCCAGTGTCCTCCAATTCCAGATTCCTCTTCAACTGCTTCATGTCGCATATCCCACCTCTTCTCTTCCTCCTCGGGTGTTTGGGTGTGTTTGTTTTGTTCATTTGCAACCTCATACTCGTGGGAAACTCGATCCTAAGGCTGTGCGTTGTGTCTTTATTGGTTATTCTGCTATTCAGAAGGGTTACAAATGCTATGATCCTCACACTCGCAAAGTGTATGTCAGTATGGATGTTACTTTCCATGAATCTGTGTCCTTTCCTTCTCCTCCGCCATCTCCTCTGGGGGAGAGTAGTAGTGGTATGGATGAGATTGCGGATGAGGAGATGGCCTATTAACACGAGTTGTCTTTTTTCCTTCCTAGTCAGCGGACTATTATTTGTGGTGAGGGGGAGCCTAATAGTTCTCTTGATGTGGAGCCTGACATTAGTGGTCGTTTGGACAGGGCTGATTTTAAGACTTATTCTCGGCGTCCGAAAGAGCAAGCATCCCTTGTGCCACCAAACCCATCATCATCCCTCATGCCAGTTCCAGGTAATGCATCTCAGTCTATCCCTCTACCTGTAGTTGAGAGTCCTATTGTCAATGATTCGAGTCTTCCTATTGCTCTCAGAAAGGGGGTTAGGGCCTGTACTCAACACCCCATTTCTAAATTTGTGTCATATGATTCATTGTCTTCTACATATCGTGCTTTTGTTTCGTCTTTGTCTTCTGTATGTATTCCCCGGGGTTGGACAGAAGCTATCAATGATCCTAAGTGGAAAGTAGCTATGGTAGAAGAGATGCAAGCTCTAAGCAAGAATAACACTTGGGAGTTGGTTTCTTTTCCTAGTGGAAAAAAGCCTGTAGGGTGTAAATGGGTGTTCACTATCAAGCAGAAAGCAGATGGAACAATTGAACGATACAAAGCACGATTAGTGGCCAAGGGATTTACTTAGACATATGGAATTGATTACCAAGAAACCTTTGCTCCTGTGGCAATGATGAATTCCATTCTAGCTATTCTCTCATGTGCAGCTAATTTGGGATGGCCTTTACAGCAGTTAGACGTGAAGAATGCATTTCTCCATGGTGATTTGGAGGCGGAGGTATATATGGATATACCACCAGGATTCTCATCTCAGTCTACAGTTGGGACAGTTTGTAGGTTGAAAAAGGCGTTATATGGTTTAAAACAATCTCCTCGAGCTTGGTTTGACAGATTCCTAACGGCTATGTTGAGGTTCGGGTATAAGCAAGGTAATGCAGATCACACAATGTTTGTCAACGTCACGCAAATAAGGTAACTGTGCTTATAGTATATGTGGATGACATAGTTGTGACAGGTAATGATGAGGAAGAAGTGACACATCTTAAGATGCTGTTGGCCAAGGAATTTGATATCAAAGACCTTGGTTCGTTGCGGTACTTTCTTGGGATTGAAGTTGCCAGATCTAACAAAGGCATCTTTCTTTCTCAGCGGACGTATATTCTAGATCTTCTTGAGGAAACTGGCATGTTTGGCTGCCGACCTGCTAATTCGCCAATTGAGGCTAATCACCATCTTTTTAGTGGTGTTGGTGATCTTGTGGAGAAGGAAAGGTACCAGCGACTTGTGGGAAGACTTATATATTTATCCCACACTCGTCCAGATATTGCTTATGCGGTTGGGATAGTGAGTCAATTTATGCATGAGCCTCGTGCCCCTCATTTGGATGCAGTGTATCGTATTTTGAGGTATCTTAAATCTGCTCCTGGAAAAGGGATTTTATTTTCCAATCATGGTCACTTGAGGTTGGAGGCATTCACAGATGCGGATTGGGCTGGTTCTATAGATGATAGGCAATCTACCTCTGGTTACTATGCATTTGTGGGGGAAAATTTAGTGACATGGCGTAGTAAGAAACAAACAGTGGTGTCCAGATCTAGTGCAGAGGCAGAATACAGGGCTATGGCGCATGGTACATGTGAATTGATGTGGCTCCAGTCCTTGTTGAATGATATTGGGTTTGTTTGTAGTGAACCATTGACACTGTACTGCAAGGTTTTAAAAAGCGGCCGCAACCGTTACGTAACGTCATTACGTAACGGTTTTGGCAGTTACCGCCACCCGTTACGGCCGCTTTTGCAGTGTGATTGAGATTCACAGGTGTGTCGGCCGTAACGGCTGCCGTAGCGGTCAGGTTTTCCATCCTATTTGCTGCAAGTTGGGCATGAGAGATATCTTTGCACCAACTTGAGGGGGAGTGTTAAGTATTAGTGTATAAGGGTAATTATGTCTTTTGTTCCTTTAGTCTTTTATTATAAGTATGTGTAAACCCTAATATGTTTAGGTGTGTGAATAATATACAGCAGTAGCTCTCTCTTTCTTTTCTTTCTTTTATGCAAATCTAATAATATGCATATCTCAATTTGGGTATTGATTTAGCTAAAGGAAGAAAGGGTGGTGGGTGAGGGGAGGGGGGGTTGTAGGGGTGGTTGGTAAGGGGAGAGGGAGTGGCAGCAAGGCTGGAGTGGTGAGAGGGGGTCATGAAAGTATGGATGAGGGAGAGGGAGTGGCGGCAAGGTTGGGGTGGTAGGTGAGGGGAGAGGGAGTGGTGGAAATGTTCAGGGAGGAGGGAGGGTAGGTGGGAGGGGATGTTTTTAGGGTTATGGGTAAGGTTTGGTTAGGGAAGAAGATGATTACGTTTAGGGTTTTTTGGGGGAAGAAGATGATGCTAAGGGAAAATTTGTCTTTTTGCATCATTTTTGAACTTTTGAATTAATGTTTTTCCATGTCAACTCTAATTTTTGGCATGTGTATCACAAATTCCGTTAATTTGGATGAAATTATTAATGGTAGGGAGGTAAATTGCAAAAGGGCTAGCCACAAGGGAGTATCTGGCTACTTTTAAAAGACGGGGTAAAGTGTTCCAGAGCTAAACCACATGAGGGTATATGGATTTTGCCCTAGTATTAACATTAATTATTGATGCAATCAGGGTTGATGATGAACTATTGAGATTGAACTACACATAATTAATTGCTAAGAAAAGAGTTTTGAGAGCTAGATATCTTGAGTTGTATTATTATGTATTAATATTGTATTTATGTCTCTTCATATTTTAGGATTCGTGTCATTAGTTGTATTTTTGTTAGTTTTTTTAGTTATTAGTATGACCTCATTTTGATTTGGGTGTTTGTAAGTTACTTGTTGAGTACTTCTTGGTGTAGTGGCTGCTTGAAGGACACATGTCAATGGGTCATGTAATGCCACACGTCACTTGTCACTTGCTTATCATTGAATGGTTGCATGTAGGTCATGTGTAGCTAACTTATTGTTGATTGTCTATGTGTTTGCCATCTGTCTCCTTGTTATTTTTATGAAAATTTTAGGTGCTTTACTATCAGGTAACCTCAGTACCTACCTATTGGGGCTGTAATATTTGTTTTGAGAAGGTTTTTAGAGAACTAAAATTTTAGATTTTGGTTTTTTTGTTGTAAGCTTGCTATTTTCTTTGGCTTCTTTTGAGCATTGTAGCTCATGGGAATTCCAGTCATGCTGGAAATTACAGAAATCAGTCCTAAACTTGGTTGTGCATAGCCTTGGCCTTGTCCGAGTATTTTCAAGTCATCCTATTGTAGTTGTTGGAACTTTGGAATCCAATCAACTACATCAATTATTCACTGTTGAACGAAATTGATTCTTCAAAAAAGTATTAGTAAGTGTTTATTGAATAATAACTTAAAAAATTTCAATTGTATTTTAGTGTTGCACCACTTCAATATTGGACAAGAAGTAAAACGTCAATTTTACCTTTTGTTTATTTGCTAAGAATCATGAATACTTTTATGTAGGTGCGTTATTCTTATCGGACACCGACACTTTTTGGACACACCTCGACATGCATTTGACACATGTTTGAACATATCATATTATTATTATTTTTTAAGTTTTAAGAATCGGACACACTTCAGATAGTTTGGAGACACATGTCTAATGCTTACATAAAACACATATGGGTGATGGCACTAGTTTGAAGAAAACAACGCAGGGCTCAATGATTAAAATTGAAACAATGTGGATTTACACCTATTAATCCCTCCTTATGCTTTTTAGTTTTAGAAACCACAAACCATAACACTTCTAATTTGTTAACAATAGAGCTTTTTGAAATTGATATTAAGACTTTCTATTCACACTTCTTTTCCAACATATAAAATGTGAAAAATGAATAATTTATCGCCATATTTTAAAAGTTATTATGTACCTATTAATCCCTCCTTATGCTTTTTAGTTTTAGAAACCACAAACCATAACACTTCTAATTTGTTAACAATAGAGCTTTTTGAAATTGATATTAAGACTTTCTATTCACACTTCTTTTCCAACATATAAAATGTGAAAAATGAATAATTTATCGCCATAAAAAATTTAATAATTTCTTATTGTTTTGATATAATTATAAATATATTTGTAACATAAAAAGTGAACAAATTATTATTTTTATGTGTATAAAATATATATATTTTACTTTTTGTAGTATCCTTGCTGAGTCTGTCCTGATATTTTAAAAGTTATTATGTTGGCTTGTTCGTATTGGGTCCTATCCATGTCTTGTATTGGTGTCCGTGACACTTAGTTTATATGTCTGCCTTTGCTTTGCATACAGTTTAAATTTGAGATTTCTGTTGAATATGCTGGTGACACTGGGGGCTTATTTGACAGGGAAAACTCAATTATCAGTGATCTTATGCCTTGCATGTGAAAATGGATGTCAACAGGATAGCATTCCAAATGGCGTATTAGAGCTCATCAGCTCTTACCAGTTGAGTTTCTTCGTTACAAAAGTGGGTCATCCTTTTGTCTTAAAATTTTCAATTTTAAATTCATGGTTGTTTTTGGGCAATGATGTTTTAGGCGCAGCAATCACATACAAGCTGCCTGGATAACAAGATTACTTGGGCAAGGAAATTATTGATAAACTAAGATATACACTATGCATGTTGAGATCTAGAATCTCTAGTTTTGATTTCTTGATTTTCCAGTTTTATAACTAGTCATTCACATCTTTTTTTTTTCCTTTTCCCCACAACGTCCTTTTGTAATTTTTAATAATGATGGTTCATTTTTATATTATTTAATCTTAGTGTATTGATGACTTGGGTTTGTATATTTTTAAGTACAAGTGTTTGGATAGTTGTTACTGGATTCTTTTCAATTTTAAATTCATGGTTGTTTTTGGGCAATGATGTTTTAGGCGCAGCAATCACATACAAGCTGCCTGGATAACAAGATTACTTGGGCAAGGAAATTATTGATAAACTAAGATATACACTATGCATGTTGAGATCTAGAATCTCTAGTTTTGATTTCTTGATTGTTATCTATTGCCATCCCTAATTCACATCTTTTTTTTTTCCTTTTCCCCACAACGTTCTTTTGTAATTTTTAATAATGATGGTTCATTTTTATATTATTTAATCTTAGTGTATTGATGACTTGGGTGTGTATATTTTTAAGTACAAATGTTTGGATAGTTGTTACCGGATTCAATTTAAAAAAAGTTATCATTTGTATATCTATAATTTACTGAATGAAATAATAATGGTTTAAAGAGGGGTGGCAATAAATATAGATTCAATTTAAAAAAAGTTATCATTTGTATATCTATAATTTACTGAATGAAATAATAATGGTTTAAAGAGGGGTGGCAATAAATATAGAATGACATCACTTGGTTAGATGACCACAGTCTAGAGTACTGGAGGACAATCATTTCATTTAACTTGCTCTCTGTTTGTTTCAGTGTGTTTTCTGTATTTTCTAGCATTTGGTACGTCAGAAAACATGAGTCAATGGAAAACATTTCCTGTGGTTAATAGAAAATGAGTTAATTTTCGAAAAAATTATTGTTTCTTTTTCTTCTTGTAGGTAGAGTACTTGTCCTCATTTGTACTTTTTGTGCCTTCTCTTGATTTTCTTTAATAATTTCTTGTTTTGTTGCTGATTAAAAAAAACCCTGGTGTCTGTGTGCAAATATCTTGAATGACCTACTATAATAAACTCTTATGTTGGTACATTGAACATGCACCAACAACACGAATACAACTTACTTTTTTATTAGTAGTTTATTTCTCATCAGTCTTTGTTGTGGTTCTTATAGAATTCATTCTTATAGGGTCAATCTTTGATCCATCAAAGATACAAATTGTTTGAATTTTGAATTCTATTGATTTAGGTTTGCAAATTTGCTGCATTATCAAAAGAAGAGTGGGAAGAACAGTGCAAACTATGGCCAACTTCGTATCATCCACCAACCTAGTAAGTGCCACTTCATCTTACTAACAAATGTTTGTAATTTCAAAATTTCTATGTTTCCCATGTTTTCAGCTTTATTGGCAAAAAATTGCAGGTCTGATGCTCTGGAGGCTTTCTCATTTTTTTTTCCTCCTTAAGAATTACGAGCCTAGGAATCATTTCAGCAAAATATTTGGACATACATGTCCTCTTTTTTCTTAAGATGTTTAAGAACAGAATTTCATTGATTAAACTGTAAAAATCAATCTATAAGTGAATACATATTTAAAAGACTTTCTAATTTTGATATACTTGAAGTTGAATGGTGAAGCTAAAGATTGATACAATTGGAAGTTCTCAGGCTTTTGAATGTATGGAATTCAAATCATGCTCAAGAAAATGAAAATGGATGTTTATGTGAAGCTTTTGCACAGCTACTCGAATTAGCAGTTAGGGTTAGGATTAATGCAAGCATAGGTTCTTCGTGAACAATGTATGTGATGCAGCTTTCTGCCTGGTTATGGTGATTATTGGCGATGAAGAACTTAGGCCCCGTTTTGTTCATATGGAATTGTGAATGGGAAGGGAATACCATTCTGGTGATTTGTACGGTAATTGGGAATTACTAGTTGCTCCATGCAGGGTATTATGGAAACAGAAAACTAGAATGCACTACATCGATTTTTGGGAATCTCATTGCAAATGGGTTGTAAATTTTTAGTAACGGCTAATATTTTGCTTGGGGAAAAACTGCTCAGTTCTTTGGATACTGATCATCTTCCTTTATTGATTTACCATCCTATAAGACCTGCAGTGAGGGATTGATCAGGATGAGGAGGATGTTGTGCTCCTAACACTTATGTTATCCAAATAGGCGTGGCTATAGTGCTATGATCCAATGCATCTGGACTCCTAGTAGGAGTGGGCACTAGGGGAAAAGATTGCTCTCTCTTTCTCTTGATGTAATTGACAATGGCATTGGTATGAGGATCTGCTGCTTTGAAAATCACTTTGTAATACTGTGATTCTCTTTCCTTTTTTCTATTATGACTTTCTTGTGCAGTTTGCATTTTCTGTTGTATCTTTTTCTTCTCCGTTTCCATCATTCTTTTGCTTCTTAACTTCAAAGTTATTTTCATTTTCTGTGGTCTCTTCATTTTGCATCGGATTTCAGTAAAGGTGCTTTCTTCTTCTTCTAGTCTGAGATCCTATCCAGTTTTGACTTTGTTGGTTTATCTTCTCTTATGTGGCCTATTCATAAACTACCATCCTTCATTTCTTTGATCGTACTTCATCTGTTCTTGTTGTATCATAGTATTTTCCTTCTTTTATGTCATTACTTAATTGTTTTAGTTAGCTTTTGGTAATTTATTTTCCTTCATTTTACTTAATCTGGCCATTCATGGTAGAGAAGTGATGAGATCATATAAAGATCGAGCAGAAAGTTTTCATTCTTCAGGTCGATGAGGTGTCAAGAGGTGAAATGATTAATATAACACAGAGGAACAGATTTCAAAATATCCATTGATAGTGGACTTTGGCAGTGCATCTTCGATGAGTAATACAATACATGAAGCAGCAAAGTTCATTGAAAGTGGTTCTTTTTTCAGGAAGCTTGGGAATAGTATAGCATTGTGTGTAGAGAATTTTTCCAATAAAAGGTGTTTTCTTTGAGCTTGCAGTGTGGAAAGGGGGCAAAAAGATGGTAAATATTGTCATTTGCGTGTTAGAGCTGAAGGATGTTTACAAATGGCAGATTATGTTCAGACACTGTTATTTGGGAATAGAAAGGCTAATATTGCACCCTTTGAGATAGAAGATTTGAATAGGAAAAGAGGTCATTTTTCGCAAAATGCAGGGGTTCCTGACACGTCTTCTAGTCCACAAAAAATACAAACAACTATCCTAGTGTAACACATCACATGCAAGTATTCAACAGATTAACCATTTTCATGCATGCCCACTAGACTCCACAACTAACATATGTTTGCCTCAACAACCTAATTAAAAAAGTAATTGAAGTCAAGTCATATGGATGCAAAGCAAAAAGCACCCTCACCCCCCAACATAAATCTTTGTCCTCAATGGAAACACAGAAGACAATAGCAAGATAAAAGGAAGAGAAGAATGATATCATCACATGTAAGGTCACACACCCATAGAGACGGGAGAAGAAGCCTGAAAAGTTAAAGAAAAACAAAAGACGAATGAAAAATAAAATGCGAAATCCAGGAATTTTTTTTTTTATTTTTTTTTTTAAAAAAAAAAAAAAAAAAAAAAGCGAACCACAGAGTCACTAAAAAAGGCCTAGTGGTGGTGGAGGGAAGTGTTGTTCAAATAACAACAGCAACAAAAATCAAGTCTTGAAAGCCTCATGATGAAGAGTTTCCTTGAAGAGGTTGTAGCGCTGCTGATTGGCCTCCCTGTATGCATAGAAGTCAGTTTGCATGGAAGTAACCGACTATTGGAAGTTAGACTGACGAGCCTACATGTGATCGAAAGCTAGTTGAGAGGAGTCTTGATAGGCTTGATAATTGGTCCGAAGGTACGTGACAGACTGCTGAATATGGGCTTGGCCATGCTGAATGTCCTGGTATTGCGCCTCAGTCATTCGGAATGGTCGAGGAGCTGGAGCTAGAGCGGCCCTTGGTTTGATTGGGTCATCAATAGGGTTCAGCTATTGTGCAGAGACCTCCAATGGGGGTGGCAACCGGTTAGTGCTATGCTTCAGCTGCTTCTTGGCATACAGAGGTATTTGATCCGCCTTGTCCTCTTGAGGGTCAAAAGGATACAGTGGATGCCCCTGGATGAGCACCATGATGAAGTTCATGAATGGAAGAGCCCAAGTATCGGCGCTTCAAATCGGTCTCTGCATCACCTCATTAAGGATACAAGTCATTTGAGAAAAAATCAAGTTAGGGATGCTGACGTAGTACCCATGCTCGAACCTATGCAGGGTCCTGATAAATTCGCCCCGATGCTCCTCCTTGTGACCAATAGGGATCACATTCTTTTTTAGTATGGTGTCAATGAAAAGGGGGTGCCCGAGGCAGGTTGGTGCGCCGCAAACCAATTCAGTTGTCATCGTTCTTGCACCCATTAAAGTATGTAGCCGTTAGCTTTGGAATGGTAATGTTTTGGGTTAACTTGATAAAAATAGCTGCATCTGGTGTGAGACAAGGGCAGTTGATGGCAGTGGGGATGTCACAATCAATGGGACTCCATCAATTGAAGAGAGAAGAGCGCCAAGAGCTTACTCATCCGTGCGGAGATTCTGGTAGAACAAATGGAAACTATGTGAAAAGGGGTCAAGTTTGTCAATGAAGCAAGGGGACCACATGCATTTACTGGTGCCAGATAGTCCTTGGAGATGTGTTAGTATGGATTTTGTTTTGGGACTACCTCCTGCACAATGGCAGAGTGATTCTATTATGGTGGTGTTCCTACCTTTCTAATAGAGATGAGAAGTTTCTTGCTCACTTTTGGCGGACTTTGTGGAAAAAAATTGGCATCGATTTGAATTTTAGCACTACTTTTCATCTCCAAACCGATGCCAAACGAAGGTGGTTAACCTGAGTCTTGGAAACTTGTTGAGGTGTTTAGTGGGTGATCATCCCAAGAGTTGGGATGGAATTCTTCCCTTGGCCGAGTTTGCTAACTACTCTTCTCTAGATCACACCATTAACACTTCTCCTTTTGAAATGGTTTATGGGATGAAGCCTCAAGTGTGGTGGACTTGGTTCCTTTACCGATTTCAAGGAAAAGAAGCAACAAAGTGGAGGAGATGGCTGCATTTATGAAAAATATCCATGCTCAAATCAAGTCACAAATTGAGAAGTCTAATTCAAAATACAAGGCGGTCATTGATGCTTACAAAAGGGAGGTGTTATTCAAAGTAGGGGATCTTGGTTGGGTTATATTGAGCAGGGAAAGGTATCTTCATGGTTCTTACATGAAGTTGAGTGATTGGAAAGTGGGTCCATGTGAAGTGCTGAACAAAATCAATGACAACGCTTATCAAAGCCGGGTACCTCCTCATTTGGGTATCTCCAACGCATTCAATGTGCAACACCTTGTGCCTTATTTGCTAGATTCCTCTTGTGTCGGCACAACTTCTCTAGTTTGATGACAAGCTTCTTTTAGTAGATTAGTTTGTATTGGTACTAGTTCTTGTATTGTGCTTCTATTCTTTGTTTCATTAGTTGTTTGTTTTGCTTGATCTTCACTTGAGGACAAGCTCTTGCAAGAGCGGGAGTATGATGTAGGACGTGTGACTATCATTTGAGATAGTGTCACATGGCTAATTTTCAATCTATAAAAATTTCCTGCGATGGCACTAAGTTCCAACACTTAGTCTCAGCCAGTGTATGCAACTCACACACATAGATTAAATTTCGTCAAGCATACAAGATAAGCAACACAACAATTACGGGAAAACCCAACCTTTATTATTGCACCAACAATTACAGAGGAAAGCCAAATGCCAAACTCTCAAACACTTGATGAATTCAAGTTTGCATGGCCATGCCTATATATAGGCTACAATCAGAACATTTGAAATTCAAACAGGCTACAAAACATAAGGGACACATGCCACTTGACATGGCAGTTGACACCCCCAACTGCCAAGGGGTTAACACAGATTTGAAACAAGCATACATAAATAACTATCACCAACTGCTCCTTTATTTCAGCCTTTCTTGTTCCTTACCTTCATGTCTGGTTCTATGCATAACCGCCCACAACTGCCTCTATATTTTAGAAAGCCTTTGTATTGCCTTAAACAATTCGAATTTCTCAAGCCACCAGCCAAACAGAGCCCAGAGTGCCATCTGTTGGCCTTGCTCAAGCCTAACTGCCTTGCTAACCAGCCAAGTTGTGCACCACGCCTTGCTGTCTAGCCAAGTCAAGTTGACTGATTTTGTTAAACCCTCAAGTATGCTGCAGCCTAGCATTAAGGTCATATTAATGCCTTGCATGTGCCATGCTGCCCATACTCTGGCCAAGGGTTGAGTGCCGCCGCCGAATGACACAGCTGATTACCCACCTTGTTGTTTTGGCATGCCTCCCTCATGCTGCGGTCTAGGCTTGACATAGGTGCAAGGTGCCACCCAAGTGTCAGGCCGCCAGCTCCCAAATATCAAGGTGCTAATAGTTAGTAGTAGCTTACAATTAGAGTGGAGTCATCTCTTGTTACTAACTTTGATGAATAATAATTGATTTGATACTGAAATTCTCTCAGAACCCTTTGGGTTCTTCTCTCTCTCTCTCTCTCTCTCTCTCTCTCTCGTTCTTGGATCCCATCAGTTTGTTTCTGCGTGTACTTCTGTTTTCTAATTTCTTGTGTTTCGAAAATGTTGCTAATGCTTATAACAAAAATTTGTTAAATTTTTTTGATGTATTTGTTATATATTATCTTCACAACTTGGAATATATTCAGATGAGATGCTTCTTATATATTTAATGAAAAATGTTATAAAATATAGATCAATGTTTTATTTGATTGCAGCAATATAGATGGCATTACTGGATTTAGTGAAGAGGACTCCCATTCGATTCACAACTTCATGAAACTTACAGTTGATATGGCGAAATCTGGTGATGGCCAGGTAGTTATTTAACTGTTGTACAAAAACCTATATCTGGTGAGGGATGGGACTGGTTGTTTGCGTTTGGGCTAATTTTGGCCTGCTTATTGAAAAACTTGTTCAGATTTATTTAAAAACTAAATATGGAGCTCTTGATATCTGAGGTCTGCTTGCTGAGTGAGAAATACTTGGCTTGTGAAAATGTGCCCAAATATAAGACAGAAATTACTTGGGTATTTCTATTGTTAATTATAACAGTCAAAAACATTAAGGTTACAGATGAGATAAGATTTTGGGATCCCATTATTTATTTAGTTCTATGTAGACATTGTAGTCAAAGAAGAGACAAGTTTTCTTGCCATATCAGTACACCCTAATTGGCCTATGCAATGTCTGGTACTACCATTTGATCCAAACTCGAGTTGGTGCTGCATGCTTGAGCGCAGTTTGTTTGGTGATGTGTTTGTCCAAGCATATCAAAAACTAAATTGAACTGAGCAGGACATTTTTAAAACTGAGCTCAACTTGGTTGATATGCAGTGCTAATGTAAATGTTAAGCAGGTGTAATTGGCATGGCTGGTGTATTGAACTGTGTAATAACTGTACTTATTTAAAACCAAAAACTCATGGTATGGCTGTGATTGTCTAAACCTGTCTCTTTGTTCTATTCTACCAGGTAGTTAATGCCGCTATTATTGTGGATCCTTCAACTAAGCAGGTAATTGCAAGTGCATGTGACCAAGTGCGCTCTCAGAATTCACTAACAAACCAGGCAGGTGTGGAAACATGCTTCTTTGAACAGCAAGAAGCTTATACTTGCCACCCCATTGCCAGTAGCGTTGAAATACATAAAAAATTGCTTTCAAACCCTTCATCTGCTGAATCCAGGCAGTTGTACACTGGTGTTGCTTGTTTATACCCTTGGCAATGGGCTGAGCAACAACTAGCCTCGTGTTTTAGGCACCCTTTACGACATGCTGCTATTGTAGCTATTGAATATTCTGCAGCCAGGGATAGACACCTTTTCCCTGGTATTGGACATACTGGAAGTAACTCTACTCAAATGGATCTTGTGCAGTATTCTTTAAGAGGTTCTCCTGTAAAAAGACAAAAGACCAATCTCGAAGATGTAAGCAGCCTCATTTTTTCTTGTGCTATACAACATTCAATACTTGTTTAGGGAAACCACCAGCCTCAGATGTTTTCCTTTTTGTTTGATGAGGAAAAAGAGAGGAGAAAATAGAAGAAACATCTGAATTGTCCGTTCTGAATTTCTCACTTAATCACCAGACTTGTGTGTGTTGGGGGGTGGGTGAAGGTGAGTGGGTCTGTGGTGCCTGTGGATGTGTTTCATTTTTTATTTTTTAATATTTATAAAGATTTAATTAAGCAGCTTTGTAAACCTATGCTGAAAAGGTTGACTCAGTTTCAAACAAGGAGAAATTCTGGCTTCCCAGAGACAACCTTTTTATGAGATGGTGATGTTTCAAAAAATGTGTGATTATTATCTAGAAATATTTTATGTGTGCATATGTATATCTAATTACATATGGCCATGATAGTGTTTTTTACTTGTCAGAAATTGTTGTAATTTAATGTGTTTTCCCCTGAAAACCATCAAAATAGATTACTTGAAATTTCTTTTCAATGATTGCTTATCAACAAATAAAGAATAATTATTTTAGTGTTTTTTAAACTTTTATGACAATGAATTATGCTGTTTCAGGTTCAGGATGATGAAAAACTGGATTCTCATATCAATGGTTTTCATTGTGAATCAGTCAGACCATATTTATGTACAGGTTATGACGTCTTCCTTGTTTGGGAGCCTTGCACGTTGTAAGTCCATCGACCCTGATAATTGTTCTGTCATTTATGAATTACAGCCTGTATTTTTTTGTTTTTATTTTTGATTGCTTGGTACCTAGTTTATTATTTGATATAGGTATATACTTGTGGATCAAGGAAAGTAAAATAGAACTGACCTTAGCTGTGTGCTCATTGGGTACTCAAAAAAACAGTTTACTCATTTGTTAGTAACTTGTAAGTTGCTAATGTTGCCACCTTAGATGAAACGTTGAAGTTGGAGTGGGACTCCCTGTTGGAACCTCCTTTCGGGGTTGACTCCACTGTGTTTTTCCAAGAATGTATCCCTTCTAGGATGTTCTAGTATCAAGAGGGCATTAAGTAGCACATACACGGACATGCAACACGACTCAAAACATGCCAACACAGGAATTTAAAAAAAAAATGTAGGACACAATATGCCTAGGACATGTTAAAATTTATTATATGTTAAATATATGAATAGTTTTTTCAAAGGTTATTCAAAAAGAAACATAACATTAATTAGAATTAAAGTCATATATTTCATAACTTAAATACCTAGATATTAATGTAATAATTGCATTCTAAAGAATGCAAACAATTGTAGACATTGAAATGCACATGATATATCATCTTACAAATATTTTAATTTAGAGTGCAAAAGTTGTATGCAGAAGAATGCAAAATATTTTTACTAGGAGGAGATTCATGGCATAGATCGTGTTGGGAGAGTTCAAGAAGTGTATAATATTATGAATTTAAAATTTTAATTAAGACAGGTTGAAGAAATGTCGGACCTGGTTTTTTAGGCATGTCCACAGGGTGTTGTGTTTGACATAGGTGTCTGACATGACATGCTTTCTTTGTAGAAGTATGTGTGCTTTTTAGAGGGGGCATCTATGTTGGGCCTTGTTGACATAAAAGAAGTTGTGATGATTCTCTTTAGTAAACAAGGAATTGGGAGAATTGTTCTCATTTTTATATTTTTTAGAATGATAAGCAAGCACACTATTTATAGTCTATACAAGGCACCAAATCAAGAACTAAATAATCATACAGCTAGCTGTCATACATCTAATTTTCCTTATTTAGAGAGTTGACATACAACTAGGCAATCCCTAGAGATCAGCATTAAATCTCAGCTGAATATTCTCCTTTCCAACACTCCCCCTCAAGTTGGTTTGAAGATATCTTCCATAGCTAGCTTGCCTGTCAATTTCTCAAATTGTTTTCTAGACAATCCCTTTGTAATAACATCTGCAATCTGTTCATCAGTTGGTCTGTTTTGTCATGAAGAACTGGGTTATGTGCTATTGAGATTGCTGCTTTGTTATCACAGTATGCCTTTCTCAAAGAGGGACTTGAGACCTTAAGTTCATCTAAGACTCTTAATCCATAACATCTTACAAATTCTATGGGCAACTGATCTAAATTCGACTTTAGCACTGCTTCTTGCTACCATATTTTGCTATTTACAACACCAAGTAGCAAGGTTTCCTCCAACTAAAGTACAATAGCCAGAGGTTGACCTTTTGTCGGTTATGCTACCAGCCCAGTCTGCATCTGTGTATACTTCAATTTGAAGGTGACCATATTTTTCAAACAGCAGGCCCTTCCTTGGTGATCCCTTTAAGTACCTTAGGATTTTGTACACCGCCTTGAAGTGTGTTGGACTTGGTGAGTGCATATATTGACTTACCATGCTCACTACAAAAGCTATATCTAGGCGAGTATGCGATAGTTAAATCAGTCTACCAACTAGCCTTTGAAATTGTTCCATGTTCTTCACATCTTCTGGTTTAGCAGATTGGAGCTTCAAATTAGGTTCAATTGGTGGCTCTGCTACCTTGCAACGGAGTAGACTTGTCTCTCTAAGAAGATCCACCACATATTTTCATTGAGACATGAAGATGCTCTTTTTAGACCTGGCAAACTCCATTCCAAGGAAATATTTTAAGACTCCCAAGTCCTTGATCACAAAGTCATCAGCAAGGACTCTCTTGAGTCTGTTGAGCTCAACATGATCATCACCTGTTAATACTATATCATCAACATAAACAATTAAAATAGCAATCTTTCTTTCTGTTGAGTGCTTATAGAACAAAAGTGTGATTTGCCTGACTTTGTATATATCCGTGGGCCTTTGCAGCTTTTCCAAATCGCTCAAACAATGTTATGGGAGATTGTTTGAGGCCATACAAGGATTTTCTTAGTCTACACACTTTCCCTTCACTAAGATGTTCTTCAAACCCTGGTGGTAGGCTCATAAAGACTTCCTTTTCCAAATCCCTGTTTAAGAATGCTTTTTTTTTTTTTTTACATCTAGCTGGTGTAAGGGCCAGTAAAGACATAGTAAAACACGGATTGAATTAATCTTTGTGACTGGAGCAAAAGTCTCCTGGTAATCAATTCCGTATGTTTGTGTAAAACCTTTTGCCACTAAACGCACCTTGTACCTTTCTATACTTCCATCAGCTCTACACTTAACCGTAAACACCAATTTGCATTCTCTTGTTTTCTTGTCCCTCGGTAAGTTAACAATTTCCCAAGTCCTATTCTTTTTCCGAGCATTCATCTTTTCCAAAAATGCTAATTTCCAATCCAGATTATCCATGGCTTGCTGAATGGATAAATAGGTGGGAAATGTTTGAGGTAAAAGCTTTATGAGACTTAGAAAGCTTATGGTAAGACACATATTTAGCAATAGGATGTTCCGTACAGGTTCAAACTCCCTTTCTAAGTGCTATAGTTACATCAAGATCCGAAGCAGTCGGAGTGGAATTTGACAAGAAGGATTAGAGTTACCTTGAGCAATAGATGGATCATCGCTTGGAGACAGTGATCTGTTTTGTGCTAGAGTTGTAGGTAAGTCTTTACTTGTTTGATGAGTACCCCTTCAAGTGTAAACACGAAGTTCTGAAGTAGGATTGATGAGATCCTGTCTTAGTATTTCTCCCCTTGTTTGTGAATCATCTAAGTTTGGCAATGGTGGCTAGTATTTCTCTTGTTTTCATTATTGTGACTACCAATTTCCTGACTACTAGATGTGGAAGGATCAAGAACAGGTACGGGAAAGAAGGTAGTAGGCAGAGGAACAATTGTTTACCAAAACTGAGCTTCATTATTTTCTATCTACCCCTGAAGACAGTTTTGACCAAAGTAAGGCTGACTTTCCACAAAAAAGACATCCATACTCGATTTTTTTTTGTTTTTGTTTTTTTGTTTTAGGATTATTATTTGGGGCATAACTGATGAACACACATTTTTCTGCCCTAGGATCAAGTTTGGATCGAAGCCTACTAGGTATGTGAACGAACACAGTGCACCCAACAATTTTCATGGGTAAATCAAAGAAAAGTTGACATTCAAGAAGAATATTTTGAAACATTTAAGGGGTGTAACATATTTTAAAATATGAGTAGACATTCTATTGATCAAATAAGATGCCATCAAAATTGCATCTCCCCATAAATATTTTGGAATATGCATTGAGAACATAATGGCACGTGCAACTTCAAGTAAATGTCTGTTTTTTCTCTCGGCAATACCATTTTGTTGAGGAGTATCACTACAGTAGATTGATGTTGAATCCCTTTTTCTTTTAAAAATTTCCCAAAACTTGATTGAAATACTCAGTTCCATTAACGGAATGAAGAATGTTTATTTTTGTTTGAAATTGGTTGGAAAAATTTTTGAACAAATTTTCAACTTCAGATTTATCATTCATCAAATATACCCAACATAACTGAGTGTGATCATCTATGAAAGTTACAAACTATTTTTTTCCAGAAGATGTGGTAATTTTCAAAGGACCCCAAACATCACTATGAATCAAGTAAAATGGTTTTGAGGCACAATATGGTTTTGAAAAGTATTGCGATCGCTCTTTGATAAATGACAACTTTTACAGTGAAAAGATGAACAATCCACATTTTTAAATAGAACAAGAAATAGATACGCGAAATAAGAAAAACTAGGGTGTCCTAGTCTAAGATGCTAAAGAATTATTTGCTCACAGATAGAGAGAGAGAACTAATACTAGTACGGAAAGCTTGAGCTTGTTTATTACGGAGAAAGTTGTCATCAAAATAGTAGAGACCGTCCATCATTCTAGCACTGCCAATCATCATCCCCGTGCTTAGATCTCGAAAATCACAGTGGGAATCACAAAAGATAACACGACAATTAGAATATTTAGATAGTTGACTCACAAATAAGAGATTACAGGCAAGATTAGGGACATGAATGATGGATTTTAGGGTGGTTTTGTTAGAAAGTTTGATAGAACCTTTCCCTGCAATAGATGAAAGATTTTCATCTGCAATTCTTACTTTTTTATGACCAGAACAAGGGGAATAAGAATGAAATACATGAGAGAGATTTATCATATGATTATATGCACCTGAATCAATGATCCAAGGTGTAGGACTAGAATGACAAGAGAAAGCACCAGAGTTACTACCTGTTTGAGCCAGAGAAACACTAGGAATACCGGAGTCTATATTGGATTTTTAGCAGCTTTAGAAGGTGAATCATTTGCTCTTTACTGAAGGCACCAACATAAGCCTCATTTGCACAAGCAGGTCGATCTCTAGGCTTGCTGTTTTTCCAGTTGGCAGGTTTGCCATGAATCTTCTAGCATGTCTCTCGTGTATGGCTGGGTTTGTTGCAGACATCACACCAAATCCAAGGCTTGTCCTCGGCTCTGCGCTGGCTATTGGAAGTTTGGCTCATATTTGCATCAGCAACAACTTGGGCAGAATTTTCAGTTGGTGCCTCAGCCCTTTTTGGTCCGAGCATAACACTCTGGTGACTTTCCTCTCTTCGAACTTCAGCAAATACCTCTCCAAGTGAAAGAAGAGGACCGAGACTTCATCAAATTCTAAGTTTAGGCCAGTGAGAAATTTTAGATGCGATTGTTTTCTACTGTCTTCTTGTGGTGATTGCAATCAGCTGAAGATTTCTATTCATAATCATTGAAAATATCCAAATCTTGCCACAACCTTGTCAAA